AGCCCCACGGTGCCTCCCAGTCCCAAGTCAACCGGGCCCGACACGGGCGGGCGCGCGCGCGATAACAGGGGGCGGAACATTCGCGTCACCAGGGAAACCCCAGAAGGAGGCGGGGAAACGATTTCGGAAGCTCTCCGATCCACTCAGGAACGCCGCAGGGGCTCCCGCTTAGCCAATGGGAGGAGGCGAAAGCGATCGGGGGCGGGCGAAATAGTGACAGAAAAAGAACGTCGAGAAAGCATAAACAGAGACCAAAGTCGCTCGAGAGTTCCTCAGCCGGCTTGCCCCGGGGCGAGGAGGGTTCTCCGTGCGGGTCCAGGATACAGTATAGGGGTAGAGCACGCTCGGTGTAATAACGAGGGCAGGAAATCTGTGGTCCAGACCTCGAGTCAGATGGGGCAGCCTCATTTTCTCACGGAGTACGAAATTGTGTTTTTTTGTAGCCCAGACAACCCTCACAAGCTGCACATCTACCTCTAAGGAGAAGGAAAATTATATGAAGCTTACTAGAGCTACCGTGAAGACGGTTCTGCAACTCTAGCACGAGATTTTGCTTTACAGATCCTGAAACCTGAAGTTTTGACTAGAATTTTTCGTTTTTTATTTTTCTGTTTCTTTCCTCTCCCTGTACTAAATTTTGCAATGGGGCCTCTGAAGACCTAAAGACATGCAGCTTCTTGGTATGTTAGTGCCTAACAATGGTATTCTTTCCGTTTTTACAGAGAAGGCTCACATACAAGCTTGGTGGAGACTATATCTAGATAGTGCTTTTTTGGGGGGGGGGTGGAAGCACTGTGCCAGCCAACCCATTGCCATGGATGAGGCAGTGACATTTCCCATAGACCTCAATGTGTGTTCGCAATTGCCATAATAGGCAAGGTAAAGTGTCAAAGGGACAGAAAACTTCATATCACCACTAGGAATTAAGTGACTGGCATTTTTGTTTCATAAAAGAAAAATATGTCAAGTTTATCATTTACAGAAAATGTATCGATTTCAATAAAAACAATATAAGTTATTTCAGTGTATATTGTCTCCACTTGTTAGTTTCTGCCTTTTCCACCTCTTTTTGCTTTGGTATACTTTTTTAGCATGATGCATGTCTTGGAACAATATTCTTTGTTGACCTGGATCCATCATCTTTGAGTCCCCACCCCCACAATATTTTATTATATATAAACCTGGGGCTAAATATTTCAATTTTGTGTCTGAAGGGGTTTGCAATTCATAAAAACACCCTATGAAATAAATCTACTAATCCTAAAGTGTGATAGTACTTAGACTTCCTCTAACATGGTTGGTTTGGTTTGCTCATGCACATTAGTATTTATTTCCACCTTCTTGCCACGAATATAGATTCTACAGCTGTTGTTTGTAACCAGAAGCTCCTTAAGAGAGTCATGTGGACTAGTCCTTGATTGTACTCACTAATCAAAATAAAGCTTTCCTTGAATACATCTAATGCCGAGAAGCAAATGGAAAGATTGCCAGTAGTGGCCGCCAATGATGGTGAATCACCCGTGACAGTGACATGAACGGTTCTTTCACAAATATTTAGAATGTAATGGCCTGTCCTGAAAGTAAAGCAGTGTTAAAACATGGCCCTTTTTGTGCTGGACTACATCTTCCATCATCCCTCACCATCAACTAGCAGTGATGGAAGTCACACTCCAAAAAGATCTAGAGGGCCAGATATTCCCCAGTCTTGAACAATACTCTGACATTGTGGTGTCAATCATCCATTTTTATATTTGCAAATCTGAATTTCCCCCCCAAGGCAAATGGGATGTTTTACCTGTTCCACAGCCCCAGTTAGTTTCCATGACTGAGTGGGAATTTGAATCAGAGCCTTCAAATTTCTAGACTGTCACTGTATCTGCTACACTACACAGGGTATCAACGCTTGATAAGAGGGCTTTCAACTCCTAATTGCTGTATTCATAGCATAAACGTCGTTTTAAACTGCTGCTTCCACATTGTAAAAAAGTTACTTGGGCCATACTGGCTGGGAGATTCCGCAATTTGTCGCTGAAAAAAAAATTATTTTCAAGAGTTGCTGTGAATACTAGATATAGATGTGAGAGGGCGGTTGCCTTCTCGTCCTGCCTGTTGGGAGCTGCAAATGGCCAGTCATTGTTTGGGTGCTTGATTAAGTCCCCCGTTTGTTCTAATCCAACAAAATTCTCTTTATTTATTCTGTACATTTTTGTACGTTTAGTTACCTTTCTGCCTAGCCTCAGAAAGGTAATTAAATCTCTAACTTCTACAGCCCAAATCTTTCTCGTCTGCTCCACATGCACCCGAAGCAACACTTCCCAAAGCTTTACAGCACCCGGAACATTTCTCCGGTCGGCTTCCGGCTCGTAACGGAAGTAATGCGAATTTGCCTCCCGGAACTCTTTCTTTGACGCACCGGCCCTGTGCCATCCGGCTGGTTGACGGTGTGCGGATTTTTTCGCTCCTGGGCCACGCTTAGCCATGTCGTACCAGGTGGAGGATTACGATGAGGTAACGGCTTTGACGGTTCCCTTGCCCGGGGATGGGTCGGTGAGTGGGGGCCGGGGAGGGCCGCGGTTAGCTGCCCCGCTTCGGCTTTGTTCCGATCGGGGAGGGGACTAGAGGATGTAGTTGGGGGTCCAAGCGAGCCCACGAAACCCCACTGTTCGTGTCTGTAAAGAGATCAATCTGCCTTCTGACTGAATGCGTTATCATATCAAGATGGGAAGCTGGCGAATTTTGAGTGGATGTCGGGAAAAGATTCCTTTTTCCTATTACACTTCTTCTATCCAACAGGGCCACTGGAATCTATTACTACTGTACAGTACTTTGAATTTCTCTTCTCTTTTAGGGCTCATACGATCCCTATACATATCCAGGGGACTATGATGGGCATACAGGTGAGTCCTTGCTTTTCTGGTGGTAGGAGTGATACCTACAGAGGGATTATCTTTGGATAGGGCAGTACTCCAGCACACTGGTTCTTAACCTTGGGTTACTCAGGAGTTTTGGACTGCAACTCCCAGAAGCCTTCACCACCAACTGTGCTGGCTGGGGTTTCTGGGAGTTGCAATTCAAAAACATCCGAGTAACAAAGGTTAAGAACCACTGCTCCAGCAGTTAACTTTGGGATATAATCAGGCTGAAATTTATTTATTTTACTAAAAGAGGCTGCTCCTTTCAGAAGCCTCCTAGAGTTTGGTCTAACCCTCTTCCAGGTTGAAATAAGGAAAGAATGTGAACCTCCTGACAGTTTCTATTTTGGGTTATTATTATTTTTTTAAAAAAATCTAATGTTAGAATGGGGTACTCTGTGTGGTGTAGTGCAGTGGTTCTCAGCCTTGGGTCCCCAGATGTTCTTGGACTAAAACTCCCAGAAGCCTTCAGCCCAGCTGTGCTGGATAGGATTTCCAGGAGTTGTAGTCCAAGAACAGCTGGGGGGCCAAGGTGGTGGACTAGGACTCTGGAAATCGTGGATTGAATCCCCACAAGACCATGGAAACTCACTAGGGAAGCAGAACTGCTAAAACTACTCCTTAAATAGCTCACTTATATTGAAAAACCTATTAGGACCATGATAAGTTTGTTCCAACTTGATGGCACATAAGTAACTAATGTTGGCAACCCTTGTAGAAAGTGTAGACTACTTGCTTTGCTTCACTTAGCCTTTCCACCTTTTGTTAAGAATAATTATGTGTTGTCAAGTCAATTTTGACTTATGGCAACCCTTTTTAGGGTTTTTCAGGTAGAGAATACACCCAAGTAGTTTACCATTCACTTCTTCTGGGAGCACCCTGAGACTGTGCAGCTTGCCCAAGACCACACAGGCTGGCTTTACTGGCAGGAGGCACAGTGGGGAATCAAAGTCCTAGCTCCATAACCAGATACTTAACCTACTGAGCTGTCTAACCTTTTGTTATAGTTACTAGGAAGAAAAATAGAAAACTTGATTGGAGTTCAGATGTATGAAAATTTTAGCTAAGGAAAATAGCTCTTGAACTGTTTTATCTAGTTATTATTTTTATCCAGGTTAACACTTCTGTCTCATATTATAAATGTTATATTTAGCTTTGTGTGTGTGTGCTAAAAATTAGATCTTTTTGTTTTACCAAGTTTATTCTCTTATGCAAAGGAAAAAATAATGCTTTCTATTTCTTCTTTGGTTTCATTCTTAGTAGCAGCAAAGTCTGCATTTTTCTGATTAACAGGGGAGATAAGAGTGTTATTATTGAATAAAATAGGCATGAAGAAGAAAATGCAGCCTTCTATGTGACCAGTATCTTTAAAGATTGGGATGCTGACTCTTGTGTTCTTACTTTATACTTTCTTATTCTTCTGCTTTGATATCATTGTTCTATCTATTGTATCCTGAAGGAGATCCAAAACAGGATCTGGCATATGAAAGACAGTATGAACAGCAAACCTACCAAGTGATTCCTGAGGTGATAAAAAACTTCATCCAGTACTTCCATAAAACTGTATCTGATCTGATTGACCAGAAGGTGTATGAGCTGCAAGCAAGTCATGTATCAAGTGATGTCATTGACCAGAAGGTATATGAGATCCAAGACATCTATGAGAACAGGTACGATTTCTTTCTCAGGGAAGGACAAGGAGTACCATTAAAACTGCCTTATAGTACTAGCTAATCACTTGAATTACCATATGAGAAAGGTTGATTGATTGGAAGTTCAGAAACCCACACCAACCTTTTTGTGAATAAACTCTTGGAAATAGTTGAGCATTATGTAGAAATTTATCTTGTACTGCCTGATAGTTGCCCTGTCTGGCTTTGATCTTTTTACTCAGTCAGCTCTCCAGACTCTGAAGCTGACAGAGTAAAAAGGTGGACATTTTTTCTAAGATCACCTTCTGGAGCTCTTCTTAGTCTCGATGCTAGAGACTGAACCTGGGATTTTCTGAAGAAAAGCTTTGTTTCTTCACCCTGTTGAGACTGTTAAATAAATGCAAACAGCTTGCAAGTCTGACCTTGGCTGGCAGCCCTCTTTCAGAAAATGAATAATCCATTATAATTCTAGAACTTTGATAAAAACAGGAAAAGGTAATGTAAGTTGTGATTGATATCTCTTGCCCTTGGTATAGCTTGATCATTCTTCTAAATACCTGTTTGTGTTGCAGCTGGACCAAATTGACAGAAAGATTCTTTAAAAATACGCCATGGCCAGAGGCAGAGGCAATTGCACCGCAGGTTGGAAATGGTAAGGTTTTTTATCTTTGTAAATAAATGAATAATACAGAATACAGTGGTGCCTCGCATAGCGATCGCTCCGTATAGTGACGAAATTGCTTTGCGATGGACTTTTTGCCATCGCAAAAGCAATTGCTTTGCAATAGTCCCTATGAGGGAAATTCGCTTTGCGATGATCGCAGGGAAGCGATCATCGCAAAGCCCCCATTTTCGGCCAGCTGATCAGCGGTTTCAAAATGGCCGCTGGGTAAACAAAATGGCCGTCCACTGTTTTCAGGCACGGATACCTCGCTTTAGAGGCACCGAAAATGGCGGCGCTATGGAGGATCTTCACTTAGAGTTTTTAGCCCCTATGGATGCATTAATCGCGTTTTAATGCGTTTTTATTGGCTTTTTATTTTCGCTTAGCGATGTTATCGCTTAGCAGCGATTTTTCTGCAGGGATTAACATCGCTAAGCGAGTCATGACTGTATATTGTTCATCTTAAGGAAAGATTTATTGTGGCTGCTGTCTTACATAAGCCAAGAAGTTTCTGGGTGTTAGTGTGGAGCTTTTTTTTATCCTGCAGTGATTTTTCCCCCCTACTGGGTGGGACAAGGTCTCTTTGATGGTGAGCTTATGAAATACCATTCCCAGAGAAAATTGTGCCATCATAATTTTCGATTTGATCATGTGCAAGAATAGTTTTGTTTTTCTGACCATTTTGAATGTTCATGCTGCAATTTGTATCGCTCATTGAGAGTGGGAGAAGATATATGATGATTTAAAATAAAATGTACATCTTTTTATTCCTTATAGATGCTGTCTTCCTGCTTTTGTACAAGGAGCTGTATTATAGACATATCTATGCTAAAGTCAGTGTAAGTATGAGCTTGTGGGTGTTCCTGATGGAAAGCCAATTTAGTTCTTCAACTTGCTGTGCCACCCTGGCATTCTGTGTTTGAAGAGGCCAGAGCTAATATATAGACTAGATACTTAGCCATTGTTTGAAGCTTAGGTAACCAAAGAAGCTAAACATATATCTACCAAACCCATTTTCTTTATTTATTGCAGGGCGGTCCATCATTGGAACAGAGAGTTGAGTCTTATTACAACTACTGCAACCTGTTCAACTATATTCTCGGTGAGTTCGTAGGGTGCATTTATAAAGTTCTTCCTGTGATTGTGGAAAATAAAATAAAAGTGTGCTTCCATGCAAGTTTGGTCAGTCCAGTCATGCAAATTATATGCTCCATTCCCTGACTGTGCCCTTGCTTCTTACCATTGAAATACTTAAGGTCCTGACATCCATTTGACATCTCAGGTTGAAGTAGTTCAGTACCTAATTAAAAAAAAATCTCTCCAGCTGATTCTGAATAACTATAACTTGCGCAAATTATCTTTTGTTTTGCACATAATATGAATAGAGGCAAGGTTTTAGAGTATTGTTTTTATACAAACATTGCAAAAATTAGCAGTGAGCTCTGCATTTTTCATTATTCTGAGTACAAAGTGTGCTTTTCTTAATTCTAGCATTAGATATTGAGCTAGGGATGTCCTATTGCATTTGTAAAGTCCATGGCAGACCACACAGTCTGCCATAGATGTGAAATAATCTTAACCACTGAAGTACAAAGACCTTAGTAACTGCCAAAAAATTAGTAAACAAAATGTGTCGTGAAGTGAGCAATGATGAATGCAAAATGATGCTATCAGAATAATTTTGTTGCTTTGGAACTTTTGTTCAATCAGTAAGTCAGATCAAAATCTTCCTTTTTGTTTTTTTGGACTAAAACTCCCAGAGTCCACTAAGTCAGGGGTCCCCAACCTTTTTAACACCGCGGACCGGCTTGGGAAGGCAGGACACCCTCTTGCGCTCATGTGCATGCATGAAGGAGCAGAAGGGTGCTTGTGCGGGCGCTCATGCACAAACAGTGGGGCAGCACTCATGCGCATGCACAAAAGGGTAGGGGAGCAATCACATGGGTGCTGGTGCGCACGCAAATGCGCAACGGGACTGTGCAGGGGGGAGTGTGTGAGGTGGGGTGGGAGGTCTATCTCCATGGCCTGGTCCAGCTCAGGCCACGGACTGGCACCGGGCCGTGGACTAGGGGTTGGGGGGTTTCTGCCCTAAGTCATGTTGTTCCTTCACTCTTTTGCTCTAGGAGGTTCTTAAGACAACTAAAGAAGCATATATGGGCTTCCTCTAATACAGTGCTTCCCAGCCTTGGGTCCCCAGATGATCTTGGACTAAAACTCTCAGAAGCCTTTACCATGAGCTGTACTGCTAATATTTCTGGGAGTTATAGTTTGAGAACATCCAGAGACCCAAGGTTGGGAAGCACTGCTCCAATACTATTAATTCTTTGTGAATTTCATTTTCAAGATGCAGATGGCCCAGCTCCCCTGGAACTGCCCAATCAATGGCTCTGGGATATTATTGATGAATTCATATATCAGGTATGGTAATAAGTTATAGAGACTGTTTGTCCCACACATTACTTTTGTTAAATTAAAGACTGTAAAGAACAGATATCTGTTACAACAATAATATTGACATGCATATATGTCTGAACAGCAGAAGTCTCCAAAATTAGTCTTCCAACAGAGTTAGAGCTTACCTTGATACTCTGTCCTTAGTATAAACTAGCTAGGGCTAGGGTTGTAGTTCAGCCTCCTGTAACCCAGCATCCCCCAGAGGTGTTGGACGGTATCTCCTGCCATCCCCAGCCACTACAGCCACTGGGGATGATGGTCTCATATATGAGGAGTGTACTACTAGCTTTGTGAAGGTTTCCATGCTCTTATACTCATTGACCAGAGAATAAGTTTTGCAAGATTCACTGGGGCTTTATTTTATGGGGCATGTATAGGATTGCACTTTAAACTATAAGGAATCTGGTGCAACTTGTGTAACTTTATATTCAAAAAGTTGATTTTTCTTCATACATAATATTGGATGCAAAGTTATTTGCCTGTTGACAGTGGCTTTAGATGGGCCTGTTGCTTCAAGTTGCTATTTCTGTCAAGGTTCCCATGTTACTGTCCCCCCTTCAAAGTTTTCATTGCAGTAATAAACTGCCTTTTCCCACAACATCCTTCCTCTGAATAACTTCTGTTTATTATTTATTTGATACTTGGATGCACAGAATGTGCCAGGTGGATGTATATGGACCTTATTTTCTCTCATGTCTTCCATTTTATCTCCACAGTTCCAGTCCTTCAGTCAGTACCGCTGCAAGACAGCCAAGAAATCTGAAGAAGAAATTGATTTTTTGCGTTCAAACCCTAATATTTGGAATGTACATGGTGTTCTCAATGTGTTACATACCCTGGTGGACACATCCAACATCAATCGGCAGCTAGAGGTCTATACTAGTGGAGGTGAGAAGAAAAAGAAAGTTGATGCTTTGAAATGAAAAATGATGATATTCTTCAGATTCCAGCTTGACGACAGGATCTTAAGGGGCTTGTTTGCTTACATAACAAACAACATTAATAAATGTGGTTTTATCCTTTGGATCTTTATTAGATGCCTCTTAGCAGAAACTCAGGACTGTCTTGCTAACTTAAGCAAAGTGGCAGCTACATGATCTGCCCCAAATGGCATACCATCCTTCAGAACGACCCTGTTTAGCCCAATCCCGCGTGGGGCAGTTTGGCTGTCTAGCCATACCGCATGAGAGATTCAGCTTAACCATAACCCAGCAAACTTGTTTGTACAGAGCTAAATGATTTTAAATGTAATGTTTAGGCTTAATCAGTAGTTAGATTGATTTGGAAAAACCTTTGCAGTCTGAATACATTACTTGCTTGCCTGAGACTATGTACTGTGGATTCCATCCAAACGATGCTGTAGCAGTCTTTAGCAAGGTTTGCTCATAAGCAAGGTTTACTAAAAGCAATGAGATTTATTCTTTATCAAATATATTTAGAACCACAGTTATAAGTTGTAATTCTTACTCAGAAATCACTGCAGTTGAAACCTTAAGGCACTTTGTTTTAAACACAGATCAAGGTATTCATTCTTTAACATGCATATGTGAAGGGATAGAATTCATATATAAAAAGAATTCATATATTAACAAGTGAAGCACTGGCTGTAATAACAAAAACACCGAATGGCAGTTATTTAAGATGATTAATATAGTTAACATGGATGAAGAACAGATATCTTTAATACCTTAGTAATGCGTTAAAGTCTTGGTCAAATTCCTATTAACATTCTTTTGGGGTTTTTTGGTTCTTGATCTCGGTTGGTTTGCATCAATCAATTTATACTGTTATCCAGAAATGGTTCTGTTCAGAAAGCCTGATCAAGAACCACAGTAACTTGTTTGAAAGTTTCATCTACTGTATTGTGTTTCCTGCATTCTCTTATCCAGTGTACTGGTTTCCTTTCAAAATCTTGTTTTTTCTTTTCCTCCTCTAGGTGACCCTGAGAGTGTGGCTGGAGAGTATGGCCGCCATTCGCTCTATAAGATGTTGGGTTACTTCAGTCTTGTGGGGCTGCTCCGTCTTCATTCATTGCTGGGTGATTACTATCAAGCCATCAAAGTTCTGGAGAACATAGAGCTTAATAAGAAGGTAACCAGGCCGAGCAAAAGGTTGTTTTTTTGGGTGAAATGGTCTGCTGTGGGTTTTTTTGTTTTTTCCAGTTATTGAGTTGTTTGTTGAGAAAGATTATGCAGCTAATAAGATCCAGGTCTAGTTTTTTCTCTGTCATGTGTCAAATAGGGAGCTTTTGTTCTGACTTAATCTTCAGTTCCATGTATAGTCTTCCACGCGCCCTCTTGTGTATGGTTCAGAGCATTGGTTTCTTCTGAATTCTTGTTCATGGATCTGTTCTCAAGACATGTATTTACAAATATGTAATGCCTCTTCAAAGAATCTGCTAATCTAGGAGACCTTAAAACTTGTCAATTTCTTTGATCACCAGGGATTGTTCATTCACACTGCCAAGTAGCTGAGTGTTAATTCATCATGATGCAGTGCCACTTACATTTTCACTGATGTCAGTCAAAGGGCCAGTTGTGTGTTCCAGAGAGATTACTGCTACCCTGTTCCTTCCTAATAACTTCCAGCCACATTTTCCATATCGTACACTCCTCATTGTCCCTGAACCATACCTTTCTCCCTACTGCCATACTATTCTAATCTTAAAGTTAAAAAATCCCTAAACACCTGGTTATGGATAAAACACATGGATTGAGTTTATACAAAAAAGCTAGTATTGAGGGAATTAGTTTTGCCCTCTTTACATTTGAGCTGTTATTTATTTTATTTATTTTATTGAATTTATATGCCACCCACCCACTCTACCCAAAGGTCTCTGGGCGGCTTACAACAATTAAAATTCAGTTAAGATACAATAAAAGATAAAATAATTAAAATACAATTACAATGCAATTAAAATTGCGATCAGGACCCACAGTTGATGTTATTTCAATTAAAAGCCTTCTGGAGCAGGAAGGTTTTGACCTGGCGCCGAAAGGTCATCAATGTCAGTGCCAGATGAATTTCAGTCAAGAGGGCATTCCATAGTCTGGGGGCAGCTGCCGGAAAGGCCCTTTGCCTACAAGCCATCCCTCTTATCTCCTTAAGGGATGGCTCTTTCAGAAGGGCCCCCTGGCTAGATCTTATGCCTTGAGCCTAAGCAGAGAGTCTTGATCTCACAGGCTTTCTTCTGCTTTTGTTAACAATTGTTTGTACTTTTTGAATTCTTACCAATGTTGGTTGATAAAAATATATTGCTAATACACTGTCAGCCTATCTGGAACCATTATGACCATGGAAATGTTTGTGCTTATATCCGTAAGATAGACCTATCCCCATTCCATTTCTATGAAGATGGGTGGAGTTTTTTTCCCAATTATAACCTTTGTTTTAGCTAAAATCAATCTAGGTAACAAACCAAAGAAAAGACTGTTACAAACTCCTGTGGGTTTTTTTTTTGAATAATACAATGTAAAGCTGGAAGAGAACTACAGAATGTTCTGGTGTACTTTGGACTAACAATTTCATTATATCATACTAAATATTTCTTTGATGCCACAAGATGTTTTATTGCTGAAGTAGGGAACACATACCTTTCTAGAGCTTGTCTGAATTACAATTTCCAGTCATCCTATACTAGCCTGACCCTTGAGGATGGATGACGGAATGAATAGTTCTACCAATATCTGATGGACCAAATGTTTCCTAACCCTACTTTATTGCATTTGCTGTGACATATTAACATGGCTATATTTCTGGAGGCTGTTTGTATAAAATAGTGTATAGGGGAGTATATTTGTAGTTTTAAAAGAGGATTTGGAGGTGCCCACCATAGAGAAGGTTCTTCTCCTCTGTGTGTGTGATGTGCCATCAAGTTCATTCCAATCTATAGTGACCCAAGTAGGTTTTCTGGGGCATGTAAGATATTTTAGTAACTTTAGTATTGCCACTCTTCAGTATGTTTCCATGGCCAAGCAGAGATTTGAACCCATGCCTCAAGTCCTAATCTAACCCTCTATCCACTACGCTGCACTGGTTCTCTCTCCTACCAAGCACTGCTGCTCCTGTAGCCTCCATTGGCCAGCAGAAGAAGCTCACAGCACTGCACTTCCATCATATTCTTTGGAAGAAAGCTGTTCTTAGTAACATTGTGAAACGGATTCATTCCTGGCTTTTAGTTTACAATCTTACTTATTCCCTTTCTAGAGTATGTATTCACGAGTGCCAGAATGCCAGGTCACTACCTATTACTATGTGGGTTTTGCATACCTTATGATGAGACGATACCAAGATGCCATCCGTGTCTTTGCCAATATCCTCCTTTATATTCAGAGGACCAAGAGCATGTTCCAGAGGACAACCTACAAATATGAGATGGTAAGAGGCCTTGAAACCATTGTCTCCCCATGCCACTTGGAGAACTATAGTTTGCGAAATATTTTGTATTTTGTGCACACTATTGGTTTTTTTTCTCCCTGACATACTTCTCTACTTATGGCATAATTCCGTGCACATATACTCAGAAGTAAGCCCTGTTGTAGTTAACTGGATTTATATTGTAGCAAGCATCGACAGAACTGCACATTTGTGTTCTTTCTAGCCTTCATGGTATCCATGTCAGATTGTTAACTTGTAAACACTTTGTAGAGCCCTCGGTTCAGCTTGTTCTGGTAACAGACTTAACTGACCTTCTTGGCATCCATACCTATATCAAACTCATCCAGTATTTAGCTGATTAAATCTAAGAGCCAGTTTTTTTCCTGGCTCCTTCATGTCTGACCTAGATATGTGGACATTCAGTCTTCAAGGCTTTCTTTTGACTTAATCTGACATTGTCTCTTGTTTTTGGCCTCTTATCTACCTTCTATATTAGCAGTGGTGTTGTGAACAGCCCCATCTTCCACTATGTCAATGTTTTTCTCCCTTAGCTCCAAGTGTTGGGACAGGTTCTTAGTTCTGAGTGTCCAAACTCTTGCTGCATACAAACATATTGTACTTCTTGAACCCTAAAACGCATGAATCAGTATTGAGTATCACAGATAATTAATCTTTTCCACTGAGGCATAGTAGCAGTGCGAGGTAGTGATGTAAAGTGCAATGGCACAAAACTTGTTCTTTTACCCCAGATTTCTGCTGCTGTCATTCTTAGCCCTAGGTGTGCCAAACACTATCTGAGGACCTGTTTTCTTTAGATCTGTTTTCAAAATTAAGTTCTCATAGAATCTGTAGACCTTTGGGTTTAGTCCATAGTACCATTAGAAGGATAAATGAATGCAGAAGGTGAAATCTGTACATTTCTACAGGGTGTAGAAGACCTAGAGGGAGATTTCCTGGGACTGGTTCCCAGTTTCTTACTGCTCTTTAACATTTTTAATAATACATCATGTTCTTTGATTGGCTTGAGATAGTAACACTTTCATCAAACATTTAATAGACATTATCTTGGTAAATTCTACTGTGGGTTTCCTGAGTTGTAGTGTGTTTATTGTGCACTTGGGTGGAGGAGATTATAACAGCAGGTTGCCTAAGCCTCCAAAGCTAGAATCCTGTTTGCTTATTCAGTGCTTCCCAACCATGGGTCCTCAGATGTTCTTGGACTACTACTCCCAGAAATTCTGGCCATCCTAGCGAGTGCTGAAGGCTTCTGCGAGTTTTAGCCCAAGAACATATGGGGATCGAAGGTTGGGAACCATTGACTTATGGGATTGTGCAAGGGCAATGGTGCAAGCATCTCTCCCGCCACTGGGCTTCCCTTCCCTTTTTGTAAAATTGGTTATTTGAAGGGGGCAAAGCAGTACGATTGCCCTTGGGTGGCAATCGTACTGCTTTGCCCCCTTCAATTAACCAATTTCAGAAAATAGAACTTTTGTCCAAGAGGCTACTGTCCCAACAAGTTCTTTATGGGGTTTTCCAGTATCACACTGAATTGATTGCCACTTTATCAATAGGGATGGATTTTTGGATTTTGTCAGATGCCTGACAAACACCCCAGTGTGATACGGGTGGGGGAAAGGCCTAAATTGGAAGGCTGTTAGACCTAGCTAGGGCAAGCTCTGCCCAAGAGTCCTGTTCCTGCTCTGGTGCTAGTTGGGAGCTTTCTTTCTGAGCTCAAAGCCTTTTAATTTAGGCCTTTCTCCTAAATGTGTCACACTGAGGTATTTGTCATGCTCCTGCAAGGTAGGTAGAACTTCCAATAAGTCTATAGACTATAATAGCAGGTTGTCTAAGCCTCCAAGGCTAGAATCCTGTTTGCTTATTCAGTGCTTCCCAACCATGGGTCCTCAGATGTTCTTGGACTACTACTCTTCCAGAATGGAGACCTGTTATATTTGTGGTCCACAAAATCCAAAAATCCCATTCCTAATGATCAACACTTGGGTGGCTTAGACTTTCAAACTAGAAATGAGAGGGATTAGAATTATGCCATTCTCTATATCCGTGGAGTGGCATGACCTACGGTGGCTTTCATTTAAAAACCGGAAGTTTAGCTTGCAAATTGCTCACAGTTTTGCTGTAGCTTGTGAAAGCTAGTTCTCTGAGCTTGTAGAAGTAAAACAGAGATTTGTTCTGCATTGTGCTGTGTTTATGTTTATGTGCAGATTGAATTCTGAGAATTTTATGCTTCTAATAAGATTTCTCTGTGTTGCAGATTAACAAACAAAATGAGCAGATGCATGCCCTTTTGGCCATTGCTCTCACTATGTATCCCATGCGCATAGACGAAAGCATTCATCTGCAGCTCCGAGAGAAGTATGGAGACAAAATGCTGCGTATGCAGAAGGGTGATGCCCAGGTATATGAAGAGCTCTTCAGCTATGCCTGCCCTAAGTTTCTCTCCCCTGTTGTCCTCAACTACGACAATGTGCATCCCAACTACCACAAGGAGCCTTTCCTGCAGCAGCTGAAGGTCTTTGCTGATGAAGTCCAGCAGCAGGCCCAGCTCTCCACCATCCGCAGCTTCCTCAAGCTCTACACCACAATGCCCGTCGCCAAGCTGGCTGGCTTCTTGGATCTCACAGAGCAGGAATTCCGCATCCAGTTGCTTGTCTTCAAACACAAGATGAAGAACCTGGTCTGGACAAGTGGCATCTCTGCCCTGGACGGGGAGTTTCAGTCAGCCTCTGAGGTGGACTTCTACATTGACAAGGTCAGTCCACTACCATCTGATGGTTTGTTTCTTCTCGTCCTCATGAGATATTTACAATATCCAGGCTCATCAAATAGCATAATTCCTAGAACACCTATCTCTAGGTGAGATAGGTGTCCTTAGGGAGGATTCGGCTCTCCATTTATGGGGGTTCTGGGATAAATCCACTCCAAGCTGGGAATGTTAGGGGTCAGATTGTGCAAGCATACACATGTGACAATCTTTCAATTCATAGGTCTACCCAAAATGAGAAATGCTTATCTTCCAGTATCATCATTTTTTAAAAAAAATTAAAAGCAAATAACCCAAAGCACTACAAATATGGACAAAACTATCAAGTTGTAAGAATGTTATCCAAAACTTCCATTCTCATGCATGCGCTATAGAAATTCAGCTGCTGTTGTAGCCTCCTTTCCCACATCAGTTTCTCTCATACAAATACATCATGTTATCAGTGGATAGTGGATGTGTAAACATACAGCATTATTGTCACGCCCATTCCTTTTCTCATCTGCTTGGTTGCAGTTACATTGTAGATTAAAGACAATTACCTTATTTGTCATTGTCTTTATTTAAAATATGTATATACTAACTTGTTGACTTAGAACTTTTTTGCTTTCTTTTGCTATGAAAGAAAACAGTGTGAAAAAGAACCTCAGGCCTGGGCTAAAGTGATTATACACCTAAACCTAGTTGCTAGTTTCAGCTAGAATAGGCCCATTGAATCAACTGCTGGATAGCAAGTGAAAACTTGTATAAACTGCATTGATTCCATGGGTTTATCCTAGTTGAGAGGAATTAAATGTAAGCACCTCTGCTCAGGCAATTGCATGTTAGCATCCTTGGGCTGTTGCTTACTTTTTTCTGTTTCTTGGCAGGACATGATCCATATTGCAGACACAAAGGTTGCTCGCCGCTATGGGGATTTCTTCATCCGTCAGATCCATAAGTTTGAAGAGGTGAGCTGGCAGCTGATTGGGCCAGTGACATTCACTGCAGTGTGTGTGTGTGTGTGTATGTGTGTGTATGTGTGTGTGTGTGTGTGTGAGAGAGAGAGAGAGAGAGAGAGAGAGAATATGTAAATACAACATCTGTTGCCTCCAGAGAAATAATTGCCTTTCTAAATATTTTGGGAAGAGCACATCTTTCTATACAGGGACTAGGTGAAGATCTTTGAACAAATGTGGCTTTTCAGCAGCATTGCCATGAATGCTACAAAAAAGGAAAATATATAGCATTTTTCTGTGAATGGAAGGAGCTCTCTAAGGACCAGTACTCTGTCTCTTGCTGCACACAGAGAATGGAATGTGTTTCCTCCAACAGAGGGCACTATATTGCTGAGACCATTTATAGAGATGACATTTCTTTATGGAAAATGGCCATCTTGTTCTCACTGAACTAGTTAATGCTTTTTTTAGTTGGTTTAAGATGAAGCTGTGATCATGGGATCATGGGTGGAAAGAGGCTGTAGAGAGAGGAGAGAAACAGTTCTATTGCATTGCTACTCCTGGAAGGCTGCATTCATGCAGCTGTCCCTTAGATTTCACCTAGCAGCAGCTGCCACATTAAGGCTGCCTACATTGTCTGCATTCCAGATATTTATAAGAACTGGTGCTTGCTTTCTCCTTCCCCCATCCTGCCTTCTCCCCTTTTTCTTGTATGCCTTATCTTTGATCAATACTACCAATTCTTATAAGTCAATCTGGGAGCCATTTTGACTAAAGGTCAGGGTAAATATGTTTTAAATAAAAGAGCTGTATTCTAGATAATAGATGGATATCAGCTGGAACAGTTAACCAATACAAATTTACTGGACATTCAGTGTTTTATTAAAATGCTGGGGAGGGTGACAGAAGGAAGGATGGAGAATTGCATTTTTCCAATGGATGCCGAGGCAAGGGCTTCCCTCTAGCAGCCCAGTTGGTTTCTGGGCTAAGGTACAGCAGAATGGTGGCACACTCCATCCTGCCTTTGCCACTTGCATGCTTAAGTGGCATATAATTCCTGGTCACTCATGGACACCACATAATTGCTTTAAAACCTGGAATATTGTATATTTTGTCACTGTTACTTTAAAATATATTTAAAAATTAAGGGTACAGATTTATAGGATAGCAGGAAAATTAGTGGTAGTTGTAGGTTTTTCAGGCTGTTTGGCTGTGTTCTGGAGGTTTTTCCTCTTAACATTTCACAAGTCTCTGTGGCCAGCATCTTCAGAGGAGAGGAGTTAGGTGAAATATTAGGAGGAAAAACCTCCAGAACACGGCCAAACAGCCTGAAAAGCCTACAACAACCATCAGATCCCGGCCGTGAAAGCCTTTGAGAATACAGCAAAATTAGTGTTTGAATGCTTGCTGGATTGAATGCATACAGAGCAAACTGGAATATGTTGCATAGAATAACAGATTTCAGAATGTGAGGAGAATATTATAGTCTTATTCAGATTTCTAAAAAGTGATCCAAACAATACAAGGACTCCAGGGAAGAATCTAGAGCAACAGGTCCAGGTTTTTTGCTGCTTCTTTCAGTTTGGCTGTTCTTCTTGCAGGTCACACGTTCTTAGAGTTGCTAGAAGTCAGAGGCGGCTTAGCAGCAGATAATAACAGTAATCCTTTGTTCAACTTCAAAAAAAAAAAAGATAGAAAAGCATTTAATCTTAGCTCTCTGGTATTTTTTAAAAAAACATTAGCTGAGACACCTTTAGGAGTAACATAATTCTGGGGAACCCGTCATTGCAGATTTTGAATTAAATATTCTTGAGCTATTTTTCAACTTACATGACTGCAGACGTCAGCCTGGCATTAGAAACTGTTTGTGGCTTGACCTCCTGTTTTTTTTCTCCTTAGCACTGTGTGTCTGTGGGTTGAGATTTAATTTCCCCACATAATTGAGCTCAGCGTTGTAGCAGAATACGCAAGCAGTTGATTGTGGAATGTGGAATGTGGGCCATGACACAGAACGGTCTGATTCAGAGTGTCTGTTTTCTGCCCCCCCCCCTTTCCCTTGTAATTAGGTCTTCATTTCTCTTTCAGTTGAACCGGACTTTGAAGAAGATGGGCCAGAGACCTTGAGAATCCTTCAGTTGGCACTAGGCAGCTTCCATATTTCTGTTAAGAGCGGTGGGGGAGGGCGGATGAACTAAGTATTCTGGAATTTTCTGTAGTGTCCTGCAAACTTTACTTGGATAGCAAATGGATGAGCTCATGCAAAAGATGAAGAAATCTAATTAAATGATGGAAATCTCTTATGTGTCTGTCTGGAGTTATAGTTCATTTATCCCTTCAGGGTTGAGATGGCCAGTCTTCCAGATTCCTTTGATATCTGAACTTAGCCTGTGGGCATGCCTGCTTGCACTCTGTGGGAGGGATGTTGTGATGGCTGACAGGCAGAACATATATGAGAAATCAAACCCAACTGTTTGCTACTGTTTTGAAAGCAGTTGTGTGTGTCTATGTGCATATGTGTTCCTGTTCCCCTGTTGTTTTACAGCATGCAGTGGAGACCCAGCTTCACTAGACAGTGTTGTCCAGATCTCAAAACTATATTACAGTTTAGTATTTAAGATATGTTGTCACTTTTTGTTAAGTGTATCTTGAATACAGTAAGATTTAATTCATATAATAGCAAAAAATCCTGCTACTCACCGTAGCAAGTTGCAACTAAATCACTTGGAATTTGGGGATCCATTTCCTCTGTACGTTCAAGTTGATTCAATGGGCCTACTCTAGTTGTTATTTACTGTGCTAAGCAACAGGACCTCATCCATAGACACTTAAAAACGTTCCTCTGTACGTTCAGTTGATTCAGTGGGCCTACTCTAGACAGGACCTCATCCATAGACACTTAAAAACATCAAACAGCATTATTTTCCTGGATCCATTATACAGAAATTGAATTTTTTTGTCAGTTTTGAAATCTGCTGCACTGGAAAAGAAAATACAGTCTGTAATATGAAAGAAAAGAAATTCAGGCTGCAGTCTTGTACACGCTGGGATTCAGGACCTGAGCAAATATACATTGATCAAGTTACAGAAGGCATATGCCTGTGGATTTGTACTCGCACCTTATGTTATGATAGCTTTCAGGGTCAGAGAGAATGGCAGGTGGTGTGGAAGACTTGTCACAATGATGGGACAATATTAAGGAAAAAAATGAAGTGATTTGTTTGTACTAGCTTCTTCCATTTTTTCCCAGTGAGAGTTGCTATTTGAAGCTCTGATTGAAAAAAAATCTATACACTTACTATGACGTTTCGGCAAAATATGTATATCTTTTTCAGAGGCATCTTGAAAGCAGCTGTGTTGATGCACAAACTACAAGTCCTGGAGGGTGAGCTTATCCTTCACTGCAGAGGTTCACCACATAAGCAAACCTGCATTCTTTCTCTGCTCTTTTTGAACATAACTATCAATTCCTTGTCTTTTCCCAGAGGTTCCTTTTTTTTTTTTTTTTTTTTTGGCTTTTTTCCAATGAACACTTAACAACTCTACATAGTCTTCTAGCTGGCCAGTCTTGCAAAAAAGAAAAGTCTAGAATCATAAGACAACTGAAACATGCATTTTCACAGTTCTAAACATAACTGTACTTATTTTACAATCAACCCCATATATTTCAGTAACACCTGCTTTCTGGTAAGCATGCTTAAAATTATAACCTTAGAGCATGATCTTGTGCATGTTTACTTGGAAGTGAGTAACGCGTTCAGTGGGACTTATTCATGAATAAGCTTTAGATGCAGCTTTAGATGTTTTAGCAAATATTCAAACTTCTTTGCCCTGCCACTTGTAGAAAACAACCATCTTCCAAAAAATGTGGAAAGTGTCTTCATCTGGATGGCACAGGCTTCGGCCATGGCTTGCCTTTATTGTGTGTGATCCTGCTTTAATTCATTATTCCTTTGTAGGAGTTTTCTTCTTGACACAGAGGGTATGGTATAATGAACACAATATTGGACTTAAACTCAGGAAGCTTGAATTTAATAATCTACTCAATTGTAAAATTTAATGGATTATTTTGAACTATTGTAGTCCTCGTCTCTCCAGTCTAACCTACCTTGCAGGTTTGTCAGAATAAAATGGGTTAACTCCTGTATTGCTCAGAATTTCCTACAGGGTGGGTGGATCGAAGATCTGACAGTCAGTCATAGGCATATGGCAAGTGAGCTATATATGCTAGTAAGTTCACTTTAGACATTTTGCATGTCGTGATCAATCAGGTTTGTGGTAGCCATGGTTTTTGTTTGTTTGTTTTTGGCTTCAGCCATCTCTTCCATTTCTAATTCTTTCCCATACTTCTTACCAGTTTCAGGGTGCATTACTAGGTCACAAGACTTGTTGAGGGTTTGGACATCTTGGCAAGCCATGGTTTAAACAAGTCAGTTTGTAAGTTAATAATAAACCACATACTTGGAGTGTGACGTGGCTGTTAAGAAACCATACTTTGTTAGTAAAGGAGGGTACACACATGACAACAAGCTAAATTCATCACACCATGACTTACTTTGAGACGTGAATGCGGCCATTGTGTTCTAGGCATGCGTGATAAAAATATCCCAGATGAGGGTCCTGTGCAAAGTGCTTAATTATGGAAGCTGTACATCAGCCATCAAGAAATGTTTCCTCTTAAGTTTCTGTGAATGCATATATCATACGTGCGCAGTTGTAGCACTGTAACTTTTTCTTTGAATTGGTAAAAGCTGGGGCCTGCTGGACAGAAACGGGGCCAGTTGCTCTTTGCAGCACAAGGAAGGATGGACTCTGTCCAAATCTGTGCCTGGCACCAGCTGAAGCGAGAGGAATTCAGAGCATGCAGCCTGATCAACAGAGTCCAATTGTTGAAATGCTGGTGAAGTCTCTGTGGAGCGACATTGTTTTTAATTCCCATCTCCAGGCTCAGCTGCTATGACAAAATCTGAAGGTTGGTATAGCTGAGTGGGTAAAACATGCCAGCCAGATCACAGAGTTCTCATTTATGGGATTTTGGAATAAGACTGCTTGTCTTGCAAGATTACTGTAACTGGATAGTGTCAAATATTTTGAGCAGGCAAGACTGTAGAGCCTAAGAAGGGCAAAAATTGGACACAACAATTTAACCATGGTTCTATCAGTATGACTAGAAATCTATTTCTCTTTTTCTTTCTAAAGAAATATCAAAGTTAGTCTGTTGGCAAAAGGGGGGAAAGAAAAGATTAAAAAGAAAAATACTGTACCACTTGAAAGACTAACAGCTTCATTGCAATGTTAACTTTTGTGGATCAAAATCCACTTTTCAGATAGAGAAGTGTAAATGCACTCTTTCTTCCATGGTACTGAGATTCATGTTCAGGTGAGGATGCAAATGATAATATGACACTATGTTTTTAAAAACAGGAATCGGATTATTACACTGTTAATTAGCAGATACTAGCCAGGATGATAAGCTAGGTAGTTTTGGAGTCTCTTGGAATTACAGGAGGCAGCTACAATATTCACTTGACATAGTGAAGAACCAAATTGACAGTGCCAAAGTGGTATCCAATAATAAGTGTTGCAAGAGGGACCCACTATAGAGAACAAGAAAACATTAAGAGTCTCCTACAATTCCCAACCAAGACCATAATATCATCAGTGAGCTGCAGCCCATTCTGGACAATAATACTTAACTCTCCTGGGCTTTGGGAGGCCAGTCCATGGTTGTCTATAAACAACTGCCCAGCCTTTATACATAGGACAAACAGGACACTCCCTGCAGGCAAGAACAAAGAGACATAAATCTGACATCAGAATAGCAGGACAGAGAACTAGTTTAGAAAATTCAATATATCAGGACACTTTGTTATGGATCTTCAAGCGGCTATTTTATTTAGGTAGAAAGGAATTAAAAAGGGCAACTCAAAAAGAAGACTGCAGAAATTAGCTATTTTAAAAAGTTCCAGTGCATCCTCAGGGCCTCAGTACAGGTCAAGACTTCTTAAATGCTACATATATTGATAACTTTCTGTAATATCTTGTAGATATAAAATAGTTGTCTTTCTTGACAGACTTTGACCCATAAACAAGTCATACCGTTCCTGTGACGGCCAAGTCTGCTCAGTTGATCAATAGCTAGGATGTGCTATTTAACAACTTAATTCTCCCATTCTTGTGTTAACAAACCAGTGTCACTTTATCTGATTCCGCACCTAGACATTTAAATACAGTGGAACTAATAAAGGATTACTTGCACTCCTGTGTCTGGTAGAGTGGATTTTGATCCACAAAAGCTCACACTGAAATATAGGTTTGCTTTGAAGTGCTACAATATTTTGCTTTCCCCCCTTTTTCATCTGTTCTTTTGTCAACATCTTTATAGATCAAGAATTGTTCTACTCCACATCAAGGGCTGCTGAACAATCTAAATTGGTTTATCCTCCAAAGATTATTGTATTTTGATTCCAGAATGCTTGTGTTTTTCACCCGTAATTTTATGGTCAGGAGCTTCCTATTATCAATCTGGTTGTTGCATTAATTTGCCCTTGGCAGGTGCATTCACCATTTGGTTGGGAATCACCAGGCCCTCAGGGTGTGACATTTCCTCACGCCAACGTCAGTTCTGAATGGACTGTTTCTGAAAATCTCTCTCTGACCTCTTTCTTGGCTTCATGTATTGTCCAACGCATTACGTAAAAGATTTTGGCATTCAATTGCAAGAGTCCACTGACACATAGAATGGCATGTGAATAACCCAATGTCTTTCGTTTCCTTTGTTGAGGTTTTCCTGTCTTGCTTTGGCAGGTTTGCCGCACTGTGGTCAGAGCTGGACAAAATGTGATACCTCCCCCCCCAAAAAAAAGACACTCTGAATAAATTATGCCAGTCTTTCATTTTCATAATTTGTTTTTCAGCACACAAAATTCCAGAGACTAATACAAAGACAAAATAACCAAAAGCTGGCGACAAAGCAGTAGAAAAAAGCACCTTATCTGAGAAACCCCGCATGTTTTTACAAAGCCGCCTTCAAAGATATTTCTGCTGAAAGACTTTTCAAAAGCATACCCTTGATGGATTCTTCTTTTGAAGTATGTCAGGCTTCTTTCTAGTTTTTGGTTGTACTTATGGGTCCTCCTCCCCCCATGTTTTTGTCAAGTGAAAGGGCAGGAAAGAATGGCAGAAACAAGCAACTAGGGTACAGCAAAAGATTAAAAGCTAGGTCTCCAGTCAATTCAAAAGACTCTGATCCTAGATGGAGTTCAAGGCACTTACTAGCACAAGTGTGTCAAGAGTTATATAT